TAACAGTAAACCTTTTTTTGATTTATGGTATTTTCTTATTTTGATGTTTTGAGCTCTTTTGTGTTTAGAACAATATATACTAATTTTTAAAGTATCAAACTGAACTTTTGTTCAATAAAAATCTTTCAAATGCAACTGTGTTTTTTTCCCCAAAAACTTTGTCTTCAAAATAAGGGTGCAGTGTATATTCCGAAAAATACGATATGTGTTTTCGAATTATTTAATACTTTGTGTTTGAAGTTTTTCATTCATTGATTATTGCTAATTTTCCAAGATATCGGAGAAGTTAAGTGAAAAATTATGATTCAAATAAATGCTCACATTTTTGGAGAAGGAACGTTTATGGTTATTCTAAATTTATTACATGTATTTACATGATTTATTACATGTATTTACATGACACGTGGCAAGCTTTTCACAAATTGTACAAGTCTGTTGTACACGAACAATCAGATCCTTTACAAAAATATTTGTTCTTAAGATATATGTATGAATTTACGACATCAGTCTGACTTGGACTCGAACAAGTCTGAGTACAAGGTGATGGTTGTGTGAAGTATAAAAATACTTTTGTCCATCATACAATTTGCACATTGCGTTTGCATGACCTCTAGAGACTTCTAATTGGATACTGTAGATATGCCTGTATATTGTATGTTTACTCTTCTACTACAAACTGTCACTAAATCAGCATTGTAGGGTAAAATTAAGAGTTGACAACTTTTAACATCAAATATGTTGAATGGCACTCTGTAAAAGGTTGTACCTTATACATTTTGATCTTCCATCCGTGCACATGGAGTTAAATAATTTACGTTAAATAAAGCTATGCAGTAGCTTAACAGTAAGCTTGAGGGCTGGTAATGCTAAAATTTGAGCTTAAGATTTGGTGAAGGACACGGATATCTCATTGTGCAGCTTTGTGCTTAACAACAAACAGTAAATAATAGTTATTTTAAGGGACTATGTTCATACCTTAAGTATCGGAGAGGACAGTAAGTTGTAAAGAAAGTATGAATAAACAAATATATATAACAAATCTGTGTGTATATATCACTTTTTTTAATACAAAACAAGCCGTAACTGAAATGCTGCATAACCAAACACAAGTCATCAATGCATGGGATATAAGATGTATCCTATTTTTTGAAGGTGACTGCGGAAGTATGACCCATATTGCAGTGGGGATGTGCCATCTATCAGTCTTAACCTCCATTTGCAAAGCCTTATAAGTATATGTAAAGAACCGAATAACCAAACACAAGTCATCAATGCATGGGATATAAGATGTATCCTGCTTTTTGAAGGTGACTGCGGAAGTATGACCCATATTGCAGTGGGGATGTGCCATCTATCAGTCTTAACCTCCATTTGCAAAGCCTTATAAGTATATGTAAAGAACTAAACAAAAGAGTAAAATAAAGATGAGTGCAAGATCTGGATGCTGACAACAAACTTTTATTTCATTTCTTTCTTTATTTATTTATAGGTAGGAGACAATGGGTCAGGAAAGACCACTTTGTTAAAGCTGTTAACGGGTGAACTTGAACCCACAGGTGGATTCCGTCATGCACATAGAAACTTGAAGATCGGTTACTTTAACCAACATCATGTTGATCAATTAGACATGTCAGTATCATCTGTAGAATTTTTGGCTGGAAAATTTCCAGGTAGGTGTAGAATACTGTGATTGGCATCATATAATGGTCAGTTAGACGTGACAGCATGATATTGGTCAGTTAGGCATGACAGTATCATCGGTAGTCTAAGCTGGGTGATTTCCAGATAGGTGTAAAATACTTTAAACAGCATCATATTGGTCAGTTAGATGTGACAGCATCATATTGGTCAGTTAGATGTGACAGCATCATATTATGGTCAGTTAGATGTGACAGCATCATATTGGTCAGTTAGGCATGACAGTATCATCGGTAGTCTAAGCTGG